TAATAGTATATAATATTACTTTACCATTTCTTAAATTTAAAAACTTATTTTTTATTTCTCATTAAGCTGAGGAATTTTCTCTTTGCAGAATCTTGTGGAGAGCAGAGTTGTCTTTAATTTGTTTACAGTGATTTTTATAATTTACAGAAATTTTTTGAGTTCTAGCATTCAATTAAGATACTTTTTTTTTTTTTTTTTTTGCATAGTGCTTAAGGATAGCACAGCATTTTTTAATGAGGTCAATATCTTTAAATGTTGCTTATTTCATCAGAAAAATACTATACCTTCAAGGATAAAGTATATTAAGCATTTTCTCAAAGGGCTCTGTTACATTAAAAGAGTAGTTTAGAGATAAATTGCTTAATCAAACTTAATAAAAATGCTGAGATGATTCAGTTGGGAAGAGATGTTTGAAAGAGTTTCATATAGTTGTTCTTGTAAGAGATGCATTTGCCTGTAGTAAACGGGGTAAAGATTATCTAGCATACAGCTGTTCCTGTCCTATTGGGTCAACATGTCATGCAATGGGTGAGCAATTGGCTGATGGATCAGCTGCAAAGCATTATAGTAAATGGGGTAACATCAGGCTGGTGACCTGTCAGTAGTGGGGTTCCACAGGCTTCCATCTTAGGCCCTGTACTCTTCAACATCTTCATGGACAATGCAGGACTGGATAGTATACCAAGTAAGTTTGCTAACGATGCTAAATTGGCTGGAGCTGTTGACTCCTTCAAGGGCAGAGAGGCCCTGCAGAGAGACTTAGAAAAATTAGAGTTGTATGAAATTTAACAAGGGCAAGTGCAAGATTCTGTACCTGGGATGGGTAACCCTAGTTGTGTGTATAGACTAGGAAACAAGAGGCTGGAGAACAGTGCTGTAGAAAGCGATCTGGGGGTCCTGATTGATGGCAAGTTGAATATGAGTCAGCAGTGCCCTGACAGCCAGGAGGGCCAACCATGTCCTGGGGGCCATCAGGCAGGCAAAGCATTGCCAGCCAGTCTAGGGAGGGGATTGTCCTGCTCTGCTCTGCACTGGGACAGCCTCACCTGAATATTGTGTGCAGTTTTGGGCAGTGCAATATAAGAAAGACATTAAGCCATTAGAGAGCGTCCAGAGGAGGGCAACGAAGATGGTGAAGGGCCTTGAGGGGAAGCCGTGTGAGGAGCAGCTGAGGTCACTTGGTCTGTTCAGCCTGGAGAAGAGGAGACTGAGGGGAGACCTTGTCGCAGTCTACAACTTCCTCGTGAGGGGAAGAGGAGGGGCAGGAACTGATCTCTTCTCTGTGGTGACCAGTGACAGGACCCAAGGTTTAGGCTGGATATTAGAAAAAGGTTCTTCAGCCAGAGGGTGACTGGGCACTGGAACAGGTTCCTCAGAGAAGTGGTCACAGCACCAAGCCTGCCAGAGTTCAAGAACTGTTTGGATAATACTCTCAGGTACATGGTGTGATTCTTGGGACTGTCCTGTGCAGGGCCAGGAGTTGGACTTGGATCCTAGTGGGTCTCTTCCAACTCAGGGTATTCTGTGATTATATGATAGCCATGTCTTAAGTCAGTTATCTTCATGTGGAAAAAAGTCCCAACCAAACAAATATCAAGAAATAGTGGATTATATCTGTGTTTTTATTTTCAACCATTTACTCTTACACATTTATACTTTGGTTTTTAATACAAATAGAAAATATGTGTTAGAATGACAAAAACATAATTTGAAGATATGTAGAAAAAGTAAGATGTGTGTGTTTTCCCCATGTACATGTATATATGTGCATATTGACACATGTGTATGTATGTACTCATGTCTATAAGTTCATATACAGTGCTTAAAGTACTATAGGTTGAAATAGGGTGTGTGAAATACAAATTTTTATATGGTTTTTGTTGTAGGAGATTAAGCACCTCTTAAACCAATTCAACTTTGCAGCCAACTTGAAAAGAAAGATGCTACTTTTAGTTCTATTATATCGCAGGGAAAGTGAAGCAAAGGTTAAAAATCGCACTTATGCGTCCTGCATGCAAAAAAAAAGGAAAAATGTTGCCACTTGAATGTAAAACACAAGCCTTCAAAGCTGATGCCTCCTACAGGAACATCTAAAGAGTGTTGTGGAAATTAAAAAAAAAATCAAATTCGTTCAATGCAAAAAAACAAACCAAAACAAAAGTTAATTGATTCAAAATAGACTGTAGCAAATTCATGAAGATTAAAAGATCCATGGAGAGGTATACAGCACAATGCTGTCCTGTCAAAAATACCTTTAATGGTAACTGCCAAAAGCTAGAAGGGTGTGCTAGTAAAATAATTAATTTGCCAAGTTTTTTTCATTCTTTCCTTAAGCATTTGAATTGTCTGTGGACAGAGAGGAAACACGAAGTTAAGCAGAAGCTTCATCTGATTTGGTGTCATCATTTTCATGTTAGGTCTGCACATGCCTGTCTCTTCACCAGTACAAACCCTGGTGTGGCACAGATGGCCCTCAGCATTCTCAGAGCTTCATTCTTCTCATGTCATTCCCTTTTTGCTCCTTTGAGTTTCTTTGCTGTTGTCTGTTCCACTCAATTTCATCCATCTGATTTTTCTTACTTTCCCTGCACATCCTTTCAAGACACATGAATATCTGCTGCAGAGAGAGTACACCAGAGAAATCATAGTTGTTAGGATTATTTTCTTTTTCCTGTTTCCTTCTTGATTTCACTTCAGGGACATGATATCAGTTGAAGGCAAATAGCTCAGCGTGTGAGAGTTTACAGCATCTTCAAAGCGGAGGAGTATCAGAGACAACTTTTAATAACATTATTTTTGGCTGATTTGCAAAATAAGAAATGGAGACGATAAATGCGGCTACCTTCTGCAGGTCCTGCGAACATCCATGAAAGTCTATATATAATGTCACCAACATATGTATGTCTCCTTTTTCAACATCCCCATTGCCACTGGCCTTTGAGATCTAGCCGTAGGTTGTTCCTGTCCTATTGGATCAAGATTTTAGTTGCAAATCTGGGAAGCAAATCACTCTTGTTTATCCTTACAGGAAAGAAAGGTGCATCTACAGTGCAGATTAAAAGTCTGTGACATGGCAGGCATTACACAGCTTCATTAGTACGGTTATTTGATGAAGGGGTAGTGAGATGCATCCCGCCCAACAAAAATGCACTTAGTGTTTTAGTATCAAAGTTTGTGTATGTATTTCCATGTCTGAAATGAAGTAGATTGCTTCCCATGGGGTAAAGCAGGTAATGATCTGTTGCTGCAGTGACAAGATATTGCCAGCTGAAGTCTAAACCAGAACTGTTCTCACCAAAGTGAGGTGAATGAGTTATAAAGTATACCTTAAGCAGTAAAATAAAATAGCTAATACACTTACTCCTGTTTTATCTGTATGTGAAGAACTACTAAAAGAGTTAAAATCCTCTTCGCACCTATACTTTCTGACAGAATGCCAATAATGACGGTTGAGAATCAGAAGTCCCAGTCTGTGTGGGTTGATCCCCACTATTTTGATCTCTTCTCACTTATGTTAGTCCCAAGTCTTATCTTCCCAAGGTCTTTCCTCTAAGTTTTCTTCATTGACCTTAATCATAACTTCTCAGATCTTTCATCCCAAATGCTCCCAGTTCTCTCACCTCTTTTCCTCAGTTTTGTTTTTCTATTCACTGTGATACTATTCATTTCAGTTTCTTTATTCTTCTCCCATTTCTCCTTATTTCAGGCTGCAATTCTCATTTCAGCTGGGTCTCAACTTCTATTCTTGCTATTCAAGTCAGTGTAAGCTCTTCTAGTTCAGACTACTTTGTCTTCTCTACAACTACTTTTACCCACCTCACTGATTTATGAATCTGTCTCCCTTGATGTCGTCTTTTTGTACTAGCTCTTTCAGTTCTGGCTTCTTTATCTTCTCTCCAGTTACTTTTATCTACCATAACTCATTGATTTACAAGATTTTTTTCTTGACCTGCTGTCCTCATTCTCTCTGGAAATTCTTGTTTCTAGTTCCTTTTTCTACTCTTTCACTTTCAAATTTCTACCTCAGTCCTAGTTTCTTCCACTTTATTTCTTGTCTCAGCATAATCCAGAGTACAGGTGTGACTCATGCCTCATCTGCATTTGAAAAAGGCTGCCTACATCCAGAAAAGATGGGAGTTTTAGCAGACACAAAAGAGAGAGAGAAACAGAGTTTGTTCTTTTTGATGTGTGTATCTGGCATGGTCCATTACAACCTACAGGCACTCAGTTTCAGACAGGGCATAGTCAATGCAGTTTAAAACAGAGATATGACAAGTCCCTCTTGAGGTAAAGTAGTATTCAGAGCATGCACATCTGCAAATACTCTGCTTTTATCATAAAAGCGTATAATGGTATGTTGTACTGTGTACAATACATTCTTCTTCCTGTTTTAGGTTGGATATAGCATGACTATTGTTTATAGAACATTGTGATATGATATCAAATATTTTCACATGATTTTGCTATAGACTCTAATACTTAAAATGTTTGTGAAGAGCTTTTTCTTAGACATTCTTACTGTTGAATAGAAATTCAGTCATTTACTTCAGTAGCAGAATTGATTAACTTTTTCTGCAATGAGCCTTGGAAATTTAGGTCCTAAGTGATTTCAGGGTCTGTGTTCCTCAAATCATATTTGGACCTAGAAAACCCCCCACAAAAATGACAAGAAAACCCAAGGTTTGCTTGCTGTTATGATTTATTGCTGTACAGTGCATCTGTGTATGCAAGATTGTCACTGAGGTTGTAGCTTTATTTAAAGGTTTCATCTGTGTAAAGAGGTAGAAGGAAAAATTAACTATGTACTAAAAGATGCATTTTTATTTTAAGAACTATGAAATAAAAAATGTTAAAGAAAACCCCGAGAAAAAAAAAAAAACCGCAATCTTTCTTTTTGTCTTTTGCTATACAAAGGTCAAAAATAGGACAAAATTAGATTAAAAATAATTTTTTTTAAAGGTGTCTATTTATTATATTTTCCACCTTTTCTTACACACCAGGAAGAAGATGGGACCCCTTTTACTTCTAATAATTTGTCAGTGTGCTGTAAACAGTGTCAAAACACACAGTGCTTCAAATCCCAATATCATTTTGCTGATGGCTGATGATCTTGGTATTGGAGACCTTGGATGTTATGGGAACAAAACCTTAAGGTATGTTGATAATTTAGGGTAGTCACAGGTTTATATTTAGTTTTTCTATGGATTTTCAAAGTTAAAAATGCCAGAACATTTAGAGATTTGATTAGGCTTTTTATAAGTAATCAAAGTTAATAATTTTTCCAGAGAATAACATATTCAATCTTTGTTTTCTTTTCTTGACAAAAGACTTATCTGATGTGTTTATCCTGCTGAAAAGTTGCATTATAAACAGAGAATTGAGCAACCAACCAAATAAGGGTAGCTCTAGGGAAGCAAAGTATAGTCACCAGTTTTCTTTTAAAATATACATGACACAGGTACGATGAATTAAGCATATTTTGAAACACTCATGATTTGAGACAAGCTTGTTGTTAACCAATTGTAAATGTTTTTCATTAATTTATCTTCATACAGTAATCAATATATTCATTAAAACAAATGTTAATATGCCTGAATAATGCAGCAATGTTCCACAGAATGTTCCTTATTACCAGCTTAGGTGTGCTGATTTTGTAAACAGAGAAAGTGGTAACTAGTCATTTTGTTTGTGGTGCAAAGGCTTTGGCAAAGTTAAATAAAACATTCAGACTAAAAGCACTGTCCTATCAAATGTTAAATGCTCTTGTTCATGCTGATGTTAGTTAGAAGTAAAACCTCCTCATAACTGAAAAAAGAAAATAAAGTTACAGATTCTAGTTTTAAACAGGAAACAATTGTGTATAATACTGATGCTTGAATCACTCCCATCACAGGGACTAGAATGACTCCAAGATCTATGTTCTCTGCTGTGAGAATTCAGAATTAGATCTTTGGAATATGAAGAAATTTCATCATACTGGTTGTTATTAGTAGGTGATGTTACTGATAGCAAATAAATCAGTTGGAAAATTAATGTTTCTGACTATTCAGACTTAGATGATGGGAGCACTAGTATGCCTTGAGGTCATGGTCATTAATCTCCTGGGTCAGAGAGCTATTAGAGCATGCTGCAGCTCCTGGCCAGTCTGCATTAGTAATTTTTATCTGTAGAACCAAGGACACAGGATTTCTTCCTGCAGGAACCAATTTTCATCTGCATGATGAGCCAGGTCACAGACAGGTTTCCCAGGCAGATATGGGAACTTGGTTGTGCCCCTGGCTCTAAAATTGCAAACGTAATCATGTCAGACATGTAGATACCATTAATACAGAGTGTAACGCAGAGTTGTAATTTTTTGAATCTCCTCTATTAACTGATAGCACCATACAACATTATCCCTATCCCCAAAACCTTTTACTGGGGAGAGGCAGACGTGACACCAAGTAGGGAGTAAGGAAGCACAACCTTTCTCCAGTCTCTGTTTTTCCCCATTGCTGAAGCAGAAAGGTTGCAAAATTACAGTTCTGGGTCAAGGAATCCATTAAAAAGGGTTGCAATGCAATATGTCTAGGTGTAACAATTTAGTATTGGCCATGAAGAGTAGATGAAAGTGGGAAAAAAGATTTTTGGCATAGTGGCACAGTGTCTCAGTTCGGTGTTGACACCTAATGTAAAAATATTTGACATGATAGTATTTAGAACTGCAACCCCATCATGGTTTTGATAATTTACATACAGTAAGTCTTAACTTGATATCCTTAATAGTTCTTGCCTCAGATGCCTTGATCTTCTTGATCTTACCATAACTGTTTCCAAATAATAATTTTTGTGTATTCTTTTTTTTGTCCTGCTTATGTTTCTCCAGAACCCCTAATATTGACAGGCTAGCAGAGGAAGGAGTGACACTTACTCAGCATATAGCAGCAGCCCCACTTTGTACTCCAAGCAGGGCAGCTTTCCTGACAGGGAGATATCCTATAAGATCAGGTAAAACTCCATTACTTTATTTATATATAAATATCATATTTTATTTACAGTAAACTCTATGCAGGTTTTTTTTTGTCTGACCTTTCTTGATATCTTTATCATTACCAAGTTAGGTGAGGATAAATGATCAGTCTTTCCACTTACTGATCAAACTCATCAAGAGTTGGTTTACTTTTGAAATATTTCATATATATGGCAAATTTATGCATTTGAGAAGAGTTGACACAAAAATAAAGTCTTTTTAGTGAGTAAAATATTTTTTTGTTTAAATACCGAGAAAAAGATTTGACTGTGGTTATTTAATGTAAGGAGCAGTCCATCTGTCCGCAAAATCCATCAACTTCCTCCAGTATTCAATGACCACTATTCAATTCTCTCTTTACCTGCCTCCCTAGTTGCATTCAGGCTGCTCCCAGTATGTTGGTGGGCAGCCCAAGTGCTGGACATCACAGAGATGCATCTAGAAAGATGCAACGGAAGAACCCCATGTAAATGCTTCCACTCAGACATTTCAATTTCTACAAAACCTTTTGGTTTAGACAAATTGTTGGGTTTACCTTTTGGGGTTTTTTTTGTTTTCTTGTTGTTTTGGCAGGTGAAAGGTTGGGGGCAGGACAGCTCATTAAGGTGTTCAAGTTGCCCTTAAGACTGGGAAGAGGAAAGCAAAAAATCTCCCTTCTTTTTACATATTTTTGTTCTATATCTACCAATATACAGTGTTAAGGATCTTATGAATACATGCATTTAATTTTTCTTACTTTTCAAATACCTGATCCAAAGCCCATTTGAGCCAGTGAAGATCTAGTCTGTTTATTTTAGTGTGCTGGGACTGAGCCTCTCAGTGCTTAGCCATGCAACTTTAACATTCCCTTAACATCATTTTTAGCAAGGATCATTATACATTAATCAGATCACTTGTTCATTAGTGATAAAACATCCTGTCCTTGCTTCTGGGAATGAAAGCAAAGCAAGACTCTGGAGCCTACTTGATACGTTCATGCTCATTCAAATCAAGTAACAAGCTTTTGCAAAAGTACCAGCTAATATAACTTGCTAAATTTTCCATTACATTCAGCTGCAAAGGAAAATTTCATATACCTATTACAGCTATATTGCTATTAATATTTACTGTAGGTAAAGTAACAGGTCACTTTCCATTATGATTCTTGTTCTTATTTTTGAAAAATGTTCTTAATTCTGAAAAATTATGATTTTTTTCTTCACTGATCATTTCTATGTAGGTGCAAAAATTGAACTTTTTCTTAGTTAAATTACAAAATGGCTAAATATGGAGTGCTTCCAAATATCACTGAAGACCTAGTAAAGGATTATTACACAAGGCAGTAGAATCATGATGTGGAAAAAAATGTTATAAATTTAAAACTCCTGCTAATAGAGCTGAAGAAAAAGATTCCAAAATGCAGTATTTGATGAGACACAAACTCAGAGAAAGGTGATGATGAAAAAAAACCCCAAACATAAGTCTGTACTTTCATTTCTGTAGCTTAAGGGAATTACACTGATTTCCATTACAAGAGCTTTAATACATAAAATTAAATATAAATAAATAATATATATATATGACTAAAACTAAACTGTTAATCAACAAAAATAACTGGGGTAAAAAACTGAAGTCAACATATGAAGGGTAATTTGAGCTGTCTTTGATAAACCAGTCTAACAAGTCTTTTTCTCATGTAACCACAAGGGATACCTGAGTGAAGATTCTCGTTGTCTACATCAATCATGTAATTTGGGCACTGCAATCATCCAGTTGCATAATTTAGACTTCCTGAAGATACATCTGCACAGATTTGCATAGATATTCTCTGTTCTGTCTGTCTATTTTCAGAGCCAGCTCTCATCTGGAATCCCAGTAATCTAATTTTCATGAACCTGAGCTCTCAAGTTCCTCATCCTGAGAGTAGTTTATAAGCTCATTTGTGTTCCTCAGACTCTCAGTATATAGAAATTACTGTGCCTTATTTAGATGTTGTCTTGTTAGCCGATACCTGATGCTCTTTTAGTGCACTCTGAATGCATTGAATCATGTGTCTTCGTGCCACTGGACTGCTGGTCCTCTCCCATCAATGCTGAGAGCCCTGGCTGCTCTATTTCCGGAATTAGATTCTTTCTCGCTCTTTTGACCTCATGATATTTACATACCCAGTAGTAAGGCTGCCTTATTTCAATGTACCTTCTCTTAAATAACCTTTAAGGCTTATAGAAAACCATGTATGAAGAAAGTGGAAATTTGGAGAGTAGAACTTGGGAATGATCTCAGTCCTCAGTTCCATTCCTACCCCATGTACAAGAAAAATAAATTATTCAAGCTCAACTTTTTTCAGGTTTGCTGAAAAAACCTTAGAACATCTACAGAAGGATGTGCAGCTGTTTGTGTCGTGTCTGACCCTATGGTTATAAGCAGAGACTTTTTTTTTAAACTTCTCAATTTCTGATGTCAATACAGAGAAGACCTCACCGAGCTAAATGGATGATTGTATCAGCCACTTGCAATATTTAATGTCTGGTTTTAATGTGTCATTTAAGTGATACCCCCTGAAGCAAAAAAGCGCGTGCAGAAAGAATGAATGGAAATAGTTTCTCCATATTATCCAGGTCTCATTAATTTTCATTGTATTTAGGAATGGCTGCCTTCTCACGAGTTGGTGTCTTCTTATTTTCTGCCTCTTCTGGGGGACTTCCTTCTGAAGAAATAACTTTTTCCAAACTCCTGAAACAGAAGGGTTATGCAACCGCTCTAATAGGTAAAATTGTGCAACAACACATGTGCAACACTATTTTACATTCACTTAAATCAAAAGAACATTAACTTCTTATATAGACTATTAAGGGTTTGCATTAAGCATTTTTCTCCCACAGCATAATGAATTTATTTTTCTGACACAAAGCTGAGCACATTCCCATGCCTATGTGAAACACTAATCTGATAAGTATGTCTAATTCACTTGTGTAGTTATAGCCTCACTGTGCAAGGTACTGGAGAAACATGATGAACAAACTGAAAATTAGTCAAACTCTTGAAAAATTTTCAGTATAAATAGGAATTTGATTACAACAGAGGGATTGATCACAATAAGGGGTTGATCACAGGGTACAAGTCAGAACAGTGGTACAATTCATTTCACCAGTTTATAAATATCCATAAAGTAGACAGTGTTTTACCTGGAATAACTGCCTAGATTCTTTTCTTAGTCATCAGCCAGAAAAGGGCATTTCTAGGAAAGTTTTCTTATCCTGTAGTAGAAATGTAATGTGAAAATGTATTTCTCTCTCATTGTAAAGACAGTTTAGACAATTAACTGCAGCATAAATATCCAGTGATGGGCAAAGGGATCCCACTAGGTGAATTTTAAATAGAATTGGAATTAATATCCTAAAAGTATAAAATTAAAGATTAGTCCTTTTTTTTTTTTAATTTGACCAATTACTTATTCCAGACTGCTTATATTTTAGACTACAACTTGTATTACATAATGTATTTCTGTACTGGAATTGCCAGGGAATCATTGTTCAGAGAACATAATACTGGAATTACTAAATTAATTTAGATGAAGGATGCATCCAATTTGATTTTTTAAATTGATTTTTAAACAGAAACTTGCAATTTGGGGAGTGATTTTTGTTTAAAAAATCAGGCTGTTTAGCAAGGCTAACAATTCACACCACTGTTCAAAAAATATCTGTATTATGTAGACAAACCTAACTTTATTTAGTGTTCCTAACTAAAAATCCTACTTAGCTATATCCCACTCTTATAAAGGATAAAATACCATGATGTCCTGACAGAAATAAACAAGAAAACCAGAAAATCTTATCAAAAGTATATTTAGTGCAGGTGTATTTGAATCATAGTGCAAAAAAGCCATTCATAATTTGTCATATTCCTCATGGAGTTAATTCCTGTTGCTCCATATTCAATTAAAGGCTGGGTTTTTTTCTGTTTGTAACAAAAACTGTAATATAACTCATTTTCTGGAGCTGACCTACTTAATGTTCTTTTTTTAACTACTTTCACTGCAACATGACAGCTTGCCACTTAGATCTCCAGAAGTTATCTCCATGATACTTAATGAACAGTTCTTCCAAGTGGCCTGAATGATAGCTATAAGACCATAAAATGTAATATCACCATATCCTTAGAGTATAATGAAGGTTTCCAAAAATCAAGAAGTGCATTAAAATTAGGGATAAATCATATGTAAATGAAAAAAAGAAAAATTATGTAGATTTGAAGAGTAGGTAGACAGAGTCTGATTCCCAGTCAGCCCATTTTCTGCCTCTGCTGGTGTTCTTACCACATCATATTGGTCTGGGTCAGGGAGTCTTTGCTAGGTTCAGTCTAACTCAGCAGTTCCCAAACAAATTATTGTCAAATCCTGCACCAGTGATGGATTGGCATAAGGGTAATTTTAAGCCTTTCAGTTCCTCAAACCTGTAATGTCACTTCTTTTTTTTTTTCCTTCTCCCAAGTTGCTCTCTGCTTTATTCTCTAAGGACATTTTTCTCTTCCCTAAATGCATTTTTGCTTCTTTTTATATTTTTTGCTCCTCTGAATATATACTTCCTTTTGCTTGATACATCCCGAAATATATTTTGGCTATAAATCTACTCTGTGTATACACTTTTCTACCTCATTGTTTTCCCCTGTGACACAAAGAAGGTGACATCCAATACATCTGTTAGGAAGACACAAATCAGATCTGCAAAAAACTCAACTTTTATAAGAAAGAGCAGATGCATAGAATATGTGATATTTCAACGGTAGAAAGAAATGATGATGTTTTACAGGAAATAGCTATTCATAATGCAAAAATTCCACTTAGATAAGTATTATTTTAATTATTACTGTGATCAATTACAGTTGAGTAAGAGGTTAATTTTTCCTCACTATTTTTATCCAGTATGTTGTTTGCTATCCAGAGAAGTTTAAAATCTACCTATGTAGCTTATCTCCAAAGTTGAAAAACTAATTGATAACTGGTACTTGTTTCTTTATTCCAGAATGAGGTGATGTAATATTTGGACACATTACAGTAGTAAGGTGTCCAATCCAAGATTGACTGATTCTAGAGATTGGGATTAATGCAGTAGTTATTCATAAAACAGCTTAAAATCTGACCATGGTAATAGCATATTGCACATACACTTTTTATTATTATTGATATAAATATATTTCTTTGAGCACATAAAATATTTCTGTTTGCATCTTGTTCCACATCTTACTTCTTGTCATTTATCTGAAAAATAAAATCATTCCAAAAGAAATATGTCATTATATACAATACAGTCTTCAGATTGCTCACTTTTCAACTGAGGGGAAAAAAAGACGGGAAACATGGATTTTTGTAGTATCCCCGGGATTCTGGGTTCTGAAAAACTGAGTTCTGAGTGAAGTTTCTTGGCTGAATAATACTTGTCTCACATTTCTACTTGCCTTTCATTGCATAGCTTTTGCTCTGCAGAAATCGTGATTGTGGCTGATGGAGAAGGAAAAATGCCTAAGTCTCAAATTATTGAGGTACTTGTAATTTACAATTAAAAGCATAAATTTCACTCAAAAGCTTGGTAGAATCTACTGAAATGCTTATGATGCTTGTGTGAAGTGTCCATCCTGTGAAGCATCACTTGGCAAAGAGATGAGAGCATTTTGCGCTGCTCTCAGATTCAGAAGGGCCTCAGTCTGTAAAGCACATTACAGTAATATGTTGAAGCACTAGCTCAAGGCAGGGGTTATTGTCACAAGGAATGAAACAAAACATGACCCAGTCATCACTTGCTTTTTCAGAGTAGTGCAGGATCTATCAAAACCTTCTACCTCATCAGCCATTTGAGAACGGCAATTGTGTCGTTCCATCACAGCTGCCGATGTAATTTGAACCAGAGCTTCTGTTGCTTTTCCCACTAACCTGCTCTCTACTTTGTTTGGCTTCAGTTGCTTCTGAACAAATCTCTTTTTGAGGCCCAAGTTCAACCTGACATTGAACAATTTGTTGTGCTTGCTAAAACCCTTTTGATAAAAATAGGACCTATATTTTACCTTGTCCTAATTTGTTATTGCAAGATTCTTTTATCCTGGCTTGCAGTATCTAGTTTTATTGAGATCCCATTTAAAAAAAACCTCTATATCATAATAAATGACCTTGAAGGTGTATTTAATTTGAGTTTTTTACTGAATTAAAGGTGCTTTGAGATTGACATATAACAGCAAAAAATGAAAAATTAAAGCTTGAAGGTCATTAATATTCATGATCATTAGGCTCTACCATTAATTCAGTTATCTAACTTGATGAGAGTTTTTTCATGCTCACCTTGTTACATGTCTGGCTTTATGATTATTCCATGAAGACAGACATGTAAAACTAAGAGAAAACATTGAAGCATTTCTTTTCAAAAATCTGTCTTTATACACTGGGAATGAAAATCAGAGTTCCAGCCTTATCTAGCCTTTTATAGTGTCATTATAATATCTAAAATGTCAGTACAGTGGTTTGCTCTGCTCTTTTTTTTAATTGACCGTGGTAATTTTTACTGAGCCATGTCAAAAGTAGTGACGAGCCATTCTGCCCACAGAAAGCAGAATAACACGTCAGGTGAGGAACCATCTGACAGGGAGAAATTCTGATTGGATGAAAGAGCTGTAGAGGCCTTAATTTCACTGGCACATAAGCAGACCTGAAAATGTTTTATACCTGCTTTGATGATATACAGAAGATATTTCTAACTTTATACTGTCGAGAGATGTATGAGGAGAACTGGACTCAACTAAACACTCAGAGTCAAATTTCTGTGTTACTTTTTTACACCTTTGCTGGCAGATGAACTTAAGCACATGACATTCTCATCCTATACCTCCATTCTGTTATTTGTGGAAGAGAAATAGCAACACCCAGTCCATTTGCTAGGTACTATTTAAAATAAAGCAGAACCGATCCCCATCTTCACCCTCTTTGGTATTGCAGTACCTGCATTTGTCATTGCCAAGGGAAGAAGTATAGAATGAATATGCAGTTCTCTAGACCCAACAGAAGATGTTCAGGACTGTCTGCATCAGCACTCTTTCTTACAGATGTGTAAAAGCTGGGATGGTTTGGAAAAGGGGAAAATTCTATGTATGATTTTTTTTTCCTTTTTTGTACTTTCTGCCATGTGTATTCTGAAGCCTGTAGAACAAATATTTCAGATTTCTTTGGGCTAAGTTATGGGAATTAGGACTTACTGGTTTTTCAGGTTTTCTTGTTTATTTCTTTTAAGACAACCCCAAAATTATGCTGGTCATGTTTACATATTTGATTCAGAAAAATAAATAGTGTGGCCCAGAAATATATAATGTTATCTGTTTTTTCAAGGCCAGCATATTTTTTAAAATATTCAATACATTTTCTGGCTGAGAGTAAAGAGCATAGCTCTATGCTCAATCTATCTCAACAGGCTTAACTGAATTTTGGGGTTTTTTTAATAATTATGCATTTGAATTCAAATAACAGCTTCCAAACAGTTAGATCTGTTATGCTAAGCAATGCATAAGCATATGGTAAGAGGTTATACCTGAGTCATAGAATGTATTATCTAGATACTTACTGTAATCAGCATGAACATAAATTGTACTACTATAATGCAAATCAGGCTCACTGGTTTCTTGTGTCAGTCAGTGTCCAATGTTATTGCAGAATTAGAGTGATTTCCTAGTGAGACAAAATGATGTGAGAGCTAGTATTTGGCAGCAATTTACTTCTTACTGTTGTTTGGCTTTTTATTTATATATATAAAATAAAAAGATGCAAAATAATCACCCTCACCTTATATATCTGTGTATATTGTGAGGGAGATTGACAATTTCAGAGATTTTTGCAATCATTTAAATAATAAATGCTTTGGTAATTTTCCTATTCTTGATTTATTTCCTATTTGTTACAGTTTTCTTCTTCTTTTCTCTTTTTTTTTCAACTATTCAAATCATTTGCTAGAAAAATTTCAGAGAAGATATTTTTTAACTCTGTATTGGCTCTTCCTGTTCAATCAGTAGCTGCTACAAAATAGTATTTTTTTATAACAACTACACATGCACAAAGGCTTCATTTCCAAAGTTAACTGTCCGCTAGGACTCTTGCTCTTCAGTGACCTGCTAGCCCACTCAAAATTTAATGTTCTTCAGCAGCAGCTCTGCTAAACCTATTTCTAACTAAGATGAATAGGCAGACATAAAACAAAATCTTTGATGAAGGCATAAAGAAAGTTTACATAGAAAATAGGGATCCACACAATAGATGCTGGTGGCAGGGGGATAGCAGTCAGACAGTGACAGTTTCATGTTTTGGATAGTGCACATTAAAACTAAGTTTGATGATTTAACTACAAAAATACTCCCTTTCCTTCTCTCTTTGTAGGAAAGTGGCATCTTGGGATGAACTGTGAAAGCAGTAATGACTTCTGTCACCACCCCCTCAGTCATGGATTTGATTACTTTTATGGGCTTACTGTGACCAATTTTAGAGACTGCAAACCTGGCCAAGGCAGCGTATTTTTAAAAGGGGTTCACAAAGCCCTTATCATCCCAATCCAAATCGCTGGAATCACCCTTGTCTCTTTGGCGATAGCGCGGTACATTGGCCTCCTCAATGTACCTTTCCAAGCATTCTGTTACTGCTTGTTAATAATCACAATTTCACTTGTGGTTTTGATATTTTTCTTCTATCATTTTCGACACTTAAACTGCTTCTTAATGAGGAATCATCAGATTATCCAGCAACCACTGTCCTATGAGAACCTTACTCAGAGGCTGACAAAGGAAGCCATGCAGTTTATTGGAAGGTAGGTTTCCAACTGTGTTATAAGTCAGTGTTACCATTTCACAATGATGATGCTTCTAAAAACTGGAAAAAATATGAGCTTGTGGGCATGAGGAATATGTCATTATATATAATCATCATAATTTTTTCCTTTAAAAGATGACCGAAGTTAATCTTCTTATTGAAAGTGACTGTTTGGGGTTTTTCTATCAGTTATATAATTAATTCCTCTATAAAATTTTAAAATTGTTTATGTTTACATACTTAAGAATTTTTTTCCAAAAGTTGTCAATTTTTTTTAGGACTTTCATTATTAAGAATTTCCTTTAACTTGGAATCTGGAAAATCTTTTGCGGTGTGACTTAATTATGTGAAAACACAGTAGAGAGTCATAATCTGTGACTTTTCTGGAATGGGAAACTTTTTCATTGACTTGATGCAACCATTAAAAGGCATTCATAAGACAAATTTTTAAAGATACTGGCACTTTATATGCCTCCACTTTTATGGCAGATTAATGTTGAAAAGATTTGATTCACAGAAATTAGGCTGCAGGGCTCTTTACCTGGGGAAGAATAACTCCCAGCACCAATACAAACTGGTGGCTGACTTGCTGGAAAGCAGCTCTGCAGAGAAGGACCTGGGGGTCCTGGTGGGGACAGCAAGCTGTCCATGAGCCAGAAGTGTGTCCTACTGACCAGGAAGGCCAATGGGATCCTGGGCTGTGTTAGGAAGAGCACTGCCAGCAGGTAGATGGAGGTGATCCTGCCCCTCTACTCAGTCCTAGTGAGGCCACATCTGGACTACTGTCTCCAGTTCTGGGCTCCTCAGCACAAGAGAGAGGTGGAGCTCGTGGAACAGGTCCAGCAGACAGCTAAAAGGTGATTAGGGACAGGAGCATCTCTTATGAGGAAAGGCTGAGGGAACTGGGCCTGTTCAGCCTCAAGAAGAGACAACTGAGAGGGAACCACATCAATCTATGTAAATATCTGAAGGGAGGTTGCCAAGAGGATGGAGCCAGGTTCTTCTTGGTAGTGCCGAGCAAAAGGACAAAAGGCAACAGGCAGAAACTGATGCACAGGAATTGCCACCTGAATATGAGGAAGAACTTCACTGTGCAGGTTACCAAACACTGGAACAAGTTGCCCAGAGAGATTGTGCTAGAGATCCTGTGCCATGTGCTCTAGGATGACCCTGCCTGACCAGGAGGGTTTTACCAGATCCCTTCCAACCTTACACATTCTGTGATTCTGTGAAACAAATGTTTTTTTTGAAAACAATTTTTTTTTTAATAGCCAGCACATTGGGCCACCTAAACATTGGATGTACAAAAACATCCTAAGTCATTATTCATTTTTTCTAAGTTAGCTACTTTACCATAGCTGTCACCACAGGGCTTCTAATGGGATGAAGTCATAAAAATATACATTTGTATATTTGGAAATATATATCAATATATTTGGAGAAAAAAAATGTCATCAATTTAACTTCTTGAAAAGATATGTGAAAGTATTTTTCTTGATCCCTTTTGATACAGGTTAAAGCATTTTTAAAAATACTAAATCAAAGTAAAAATATATTCTAAGACATAAAAGTCCCTGAATTATTATTCTTAAAGTATGTACCATTAATTACTGTGAATACATTCACATAGTGTCATTGCTGGATGAAAACATATACCAAAGAGTCAGAGGCTAAATTTTCTAGACTGAGTGACTGCATGCAGCAGCTGTTTCTAGCTGTTAGCCAGAAAAAATGTTTAACTAAAATCTTGATCTTATACTGCAATTTTTTTGTCATTTCTATCATTATGATTTGCTGTGGCCATCTCTACTCATCATACCAAAATAAAAGTGTTTTTATATCAAATTTCTTTAAGTGAGTAAGTTTTCCCAACAATCAACATTCTCATCAGTATTTATAAATAAACTAAAACATCTTTATTTCCTCTTGGCAATAGTGATAAAGATGCCTTCTCAACTACATTTAACTGTGAAGTACTTTGTTTGCTACAAAAACAAACATACACATTGAAAATTGTTGAAAGGTTATTTGCTTAGTGACCAAGCATTTGGTGATTTTAAAAGACTCTTGAGTACATTAACTATATGTTGGTATATTCTACCATTATTTACAAGTATATAATGTGCCTGTAGTGATATTGTTTTGGGTATCTATGAATGTTTCATTGATTTCAATGCCATGACAATAAAATGGTTGCCCCAAAACAGGTGAGTTCAAGATGGACAATCAATGGTAGAAAACCAGTAACTCTTTTAACTTTATTAATATGTGTAACGTGCACGCTGTTATTGTATAGCTTAGTGTCATTATTTGAGCCCAGTGTTTAGAGATGGAAAAATAACATATAATCTAAGTCAGCACAGCTTTGCTGACTCGGCCGGAGGTAAGTGGCTTTACATCAGCTGAGCACTTGGCCCCAAATCTTGATGTAGTTTCCAGACAACAGTGATGTTAAATTGAAGTCAAGGTTAATAGCATATATTCGTAATTTACAACAAACTTTGTTACAGGACTGATACAATTATAGTGAGAATTATAACCCAGACTCTTCAGAGTCATTGTTAAATTAGAGAATATCCAAGCACATTAAGGTATTGAGAAGCAATTAGGGCATTTGAGCAATCTTAACTGTGCCCTTTAGTGAATTCACATGCAAAGTATATGACCATAAACCTTGCTCCTGGGGATAGAAGTAATTAGATTAATAATCACTGAACTGATCTGTCCCATATATTAGTGAGAGCAACAAAACCAATATTTGCTTTGACACACTGGTTCTGACATTATATAGTTCACACCTGTCAACTCCAGGGCACCATTAGACCATTGCTTTTATGACTAGTCTACTGACTTTGGCGATATGTTGGTGAATGGCCATGAAGAGTCAACCAGGTTTCAACAGCATGCAGACATCTGGCACTCATAAATGAAGGGCCACAAGGTTTTGGGAAGCCACAGTTGCTCGACAGCATTCTTATCGTTCCAGTTCTTTCAGCCCCTTAGTCACATGTTAGAATATTCAATTTGTCATACAGTCTCCTTTTCTTTAGATGATACAGTGAATAGCAAGCTCAGTCGTGTACATAAGTAATTCTTGTGCACAAGTATACCAGAATGCAAACAATCCTGAATTTAAGAATTCAAGCATTCACCTTAACTGGTTCTAAATACACATTTTATCATCAGACTAAAAATCATCAGATATCATGCGTTTTTTAATTGGTCAATTATCTTTACAATAAATATATGATGAAGCTCCAATCTTCAACAGCACTGGTATTTTCCTGTAAAGCCCTTTTATATTCAATGTGTATGAATATATATTAGTAATTCTAACATAAATGTTTTATCTATATAAGTTTATTATACCTATTGCCTATATTACCTCTGCAAGTTCTTTGGAGTTCAGGTGATGGACTTCCTGACATTTTCTTTTCTAGCTGATTCTCAGTCATACTCTCAGCTTTATGACTTCTTACTATGTATAAACATCAAACTCTTCAGAAGGAATAGGCAAGGAAGGAGATGTGGTGGGGTAGCCTTGTATGTTAAAGAGTGTTTTCATTATATAGAGCTTAATGATGGTGGTGATAGGTTTGAGTGTTCATGGGTGAGAATCAGGGGATAGGCCAACCAGGAAGATATCATGGTGAGATTATGTTATAGACCACGCAGACAGGATGAAGAGGCAGACAAAATATTCTATAAGCAGCTGGGAGAAGTCTCACAACTGCTGGCCCTTGTTAATGTAGGGGACTTCAGCTTACCGGATGTCTACTGGAAATACAGTACAGTGGACAGGAAACTGTGTAAGTGGTTCTTGAAGTGTGTAGAATATAACTTCCTGACACAGCTGGTAAGTGAGCCAACCTGGGGAGGTGCCCTGCTGGACCTGCTTTCTATGAACAGAGGAAGACTGGTGAGTGATTTGATGGTTGAAGGCCATCTTGGGCACAGGGATCACAAAATGATAAGAGTTTTTGATTCCTAGCAAAGTAAGGAGAGTGGTCTGCAGAATTATTACCTTGGACTGCTGGAAGGCAGACTTTGGCCTAACTAATCATTAGAGTTTGTTTTTAAAGTCATCTTATAATTTCTTTATAGCATGTAGCTATGTGTTGTAGTACTTCGGTCTGCTTTTTTTGAGAGGTGAAATTGTATTTATCTTCCTTAGTCTAGTGTACACATATTACAATTTTTGTTTGTTCCTGGATAGACTGAAAAAGAGTAAATACAAAATTCAATACCCAGAAATGGCACTGGAAACAAATATATACAATTACAAATGTCAGATCTGGTATGTGAAAACAAATAGTAATTTAGTTGCTTACCCTAATTGTAAGTGGGCAGGTCAGCTCAGTGTGTGTTAATTCTAATTACTTTTTCCCAAGGGGAAGTGTGTTTACATATTGCAAACCTGTAAGAACACTCTCTAGATACTACAGCATATTTGAAAGTCAAATGCATGCTAATTATTTCATGTTAAATTCAACGTGGTTGTCACTCTTATATCTTCAGCATGCCATTTAATGACCAACTGCACAGCAGATCCAGTTTTGGAAAATGCCAGAGACAGTTTCTAATGTATAAAAAATTAACAATACAAAAGTACCACTCTCTGATACAGAATACCTCTCTGACAAATTTGTATAGCTGGTCACAATTAATATTTAAAGAAATCCTAATGAAATCTAGTTTCTGGAAAACAATAATTGCATACAAACATGTTTATATTTAAAAGGTGTGGTGAAGGTGAATTTAAACAATTTTCTTGTCTATTTTTTTCAGTCATAGTGCATAGGCATAATTTTTAAAATTTTGTGATAACAGTTAATAAATTTTAAATTTTCATTTTATCTATTCTGTTTTAGTCCTTGAAACATTGTTGCAACACATAATCAGATTTTTTTTCATCTACTCTAGGAGACTGGTTTAGAGTTTTTTTATATATTACTGGGTCTTAAGATCTGGCAGTTGTCATTTTATATTGGAGTTAAGAGTTTTGAAATCAAGTGTTTTTATAAGTCCTACAGGAATATTCCTTATAGTTTACAGTAAAATACAAATTATAGAGTTTGTAAATCTTTGTATACATATGATGTGTATATGTACATATATATACATATATTAAAAACAGGTAGTAACTTATAAGCTGGAACAACTCTACTGGATCTTTATGCCTTTTCTCTCAGACCTCTGATTGTGCCTTTTGAACAAAAAGATAACAGGAAGAAGGTGTGAATTCATATAGGGCTTTACAAAGTCTTTAAATAATTTAAGAATTATTAAGAACCTCACTAGTTCTGTGATGAGTGGCAGATGGTATTGTCAATGGAACACTTCTAAAAAAGTATTAAATCTGTCTATTGGCCTCCAACATTTTGTGAGGGAGAGGGATTTAGTAATGAGTATAATTTGTACTAGATGACAAATTCCTTTTCTTTCTCTGTGCTTATGAAAGTGTACTTTAGGAAGGGGAGAAAAAGGTTATATAGAAAGGAAATAAAAACATATATGAGTTGGGTACCTTAAGCATTTAAAGGAAACAATGGATATGAAATTATAGATGTCAAAGTGTCTTGTCTATTTGCATGGAAGAATTACATCACAAATGCAGATATAGTAGTAGCACATCCTACTTTTAATATCTACTAGAAAGAGTCAGATTATTTATATATTTACATTTTTCTCCGTCTCTCAATTCCATTTTCAGAACCTTTTCTGGTTCTTATAAGTAACACCCAAGTGGTCTGGAGTTCTCTTTCTGATTTTGAAAAATTTTGAAAACATGACATCCGTGTTTGAAGGTGTGTCTTTTAAAAGTGTAGGACAGAACCATTCATTCATGGATTCATTCATACTAACAAGAATTTCAACAGTTAACAGTCAAAACAAAATGAAATCCAGCATGTAGGAGAAAGTCCTGCTTTGATACAGCTAAGCCAAGTTTTGCCATTTCCTCTTGCAGGAATAAGGCGGCTTAATGAGTGCATTCAGCCAGTCCTATCACAAAGATCACTGTCTAATTGGTGATCTAATCTGGAAGTAGAAGAGGCGCCCATGGGGAATAAGCATTAATTTATCCGCTGAGGGGATACTGAATAAGAAGATCCTTTTAGTAAAAAAGAAAATACTGTGTCCAGGTCTGAAGTGCTCAGCACAAGAAAGATGTGGACCTCTTAGAGTAGGTCCAGAGGAGGGCCATGGAGATGATCAGAGGGATGGAACTCCTTTCCTATGAGGACAGGCTGAGAGATCTGGGATTGTTCAGCATGGAGTAGAGGAGGCTCACTATAGCCTTCCAGTACCTTAAGGGGGCTTATAAAAAGGAGGGAGAGGGACTTTTTATATAGACAGATAGTGACAGGACAAGGGACAATAGTTTTAAACTGAAAGAGGGGAGGTTTAAATTAGATGTTAAGAAGAAATTCTTTACTCAGAGGGTGGTGAAGCACTGGAACAGGTAACATGGTTGTAGATGTCCTGTCACTGGAAGTGTTCAAGGAGACATGCTGGTCATGCTGTTTTTGGTGCAGCCCAGGATACAGTTGACTTTCTTGGCTGCAAGGACACATTGCCAGATAATATGGAGCTTCTTGCCAACCAACATTGCCAAGTCCTTCTCCTTGGGTCTGCTCTCAATCCATTCTCTACCCAGCCTGTATTTGTGCTCGGGATTGACATCACCCAGATGCAGGACTTTGCACTTGGCCTTGTTGAATTTCATTAGGTTCTCATGGGCCAAACTCTTAAACCTGTCCAGGTCCCTCTGGGTGGTATCCCTTCCTTGCAGTGTGTCAACTGCTCCACATCAGTGCACAGAAAAGCAAACAAAATTGCCCAAGGAATTTTCAAAGCAAAGAGCAGTATTTGGAGCAGATTTGCAGGAAAAAAAGTTAAAAGACTTGTGTTTGAAGCACAAAGTCAGATTAGTTTTAATTGCTCACTCACCCACTTTAAAGCTGTGTTTTACAGCTCTAGCCTGAGCTGAATCTTTGAGTAGTATAAAGACTCCTCACAGTAAAAAAGAACCCAGTACTTTGCAATGCAGAGGAATCACCAGCAATGTGATGCTTTTAGATGTTTTCAAGATCCATTAAAAACACACTAAATAATATCTTAAGTCAGATGTATGTAACCTCTCTGGCTACCCCGTAAATTGAAAAGACTGTGTGATTCATGTTAGGATAAAAAATCTCAAATCTTTTGAAACTGAGATTCCCTGTGTTTGCACTGTGTAAAAGATAGTGGGAATAATTTTTGAAGGAGCTGTTTGTTGAAGTTCAGGAGTTAAGCTGTTTTTGTCAAATTTCTCTCCTGCCTCCTAGCTGGTGTTGTCATTCCATTTTCAAGGTCGTAGTAGAGGTAGTCAGTTATGATACTCCTCAAAGAGTTTTGGCAGGAGATAAATAGCTGTCTCTGTTCTTTTATAGGATATTAATAGGTGAGACACTTCTCCACCTGCCAGCAAGCTGTCAATCAGAACCTGCCAATTTTAGTTGGAAAGAAGAGAATGATGTAGTGGCCTTCTATATCAATCATTGATTCGATAACGCTTCATGAAAGTTAGATCTTTGTGTCAGTTCTATTAACAAAACAAACAAACAAAAAAGAAAACTTCAAAGAACTCAAGTTATTATGTCTTGAAAATAACATTTATAGTGGAGGCTTTTGATACTTTTAGCAAAGCAGGTGTACAGTTAGAAGAATGTGGTATCTCTGTGGCATTAGAACAAGGCAGTTTGCATGAAAAGTAAATTTTGCCTGCACTGTCATAAGTATAAAGTAAATTTTTGTGGTGTTTTACCCTACTATTTGTATATTAATCTCAATTCAGTGAACTGTGTTTAAGGAATACATAAATGAAAATCCAAGGAAGTAAAAAATACATTTATAAAACAAAAATTATCTGTCTTGCAGAAATATTCTCTAATGAAAGGTCAGTGTTATATTTATGTATATATTAAATATTTAACTTATAAGTATACATCTTTTTTTTGCTTGAAGTGGTGATATTTTCAAGTGTTTTAATTGACTGAGAAGTCCCATGTTATTTGTTGCTACAAAAATGAAAAGTTCTCATATGTATGACCTTTCAAACAGCAATAAACAACTATGTGAAAATTGTATCTTTTATAAAAAATATTAATTTTTTTAATCTGTACTTCACAATACTAAGCTAATACAGGATACATGCACAAATATTTGTAAGAGAAATAAAATAATTTTGTATCCATTTTCCACAAGAAAATGTTGTAGTTTTTTTTTTTGAAGAAAGAGAATTTATTTATAAAGAAAAAATCCCTGTCAAAACCACAGTTATCAAGGGAGTAACACGGATAAAATGTTCCCATTTTGAGTTTATGTGCTGCTGTATATGCCAGTAAAAAAACATGCAACTTTTGCAAAAACGTATTCAACCAAGGAGAGAGGAAAAATGCATCATAAATATACTACATTAAAATTAATTATTTTTCTTTAAGATGAAAGTATTGATATCAGATTAATGTCTTTTACTAAAATACTTTGTTTTCAGGTTCTAAAGGTTAGGATTTTTTGTTAATTTTAAAGGAACAGTTTGTATGAGCATGTCTGTATTGTTCCTCCCTTCTTTAAAGGGTGAATGAATCAACTGCTTGAGGAAATATATAGTCTCCCTTTGATGCTGACATGAATCACAGGTATTTATCCACCCCAGACTGGCAAGGGAAAATATGATAAATAAAACTAAAAATAGACTGCAATTAGCTGTGTGCTTTAAGGTGAGATCCAGACAAGTTCTGTGGGTAGTGCTTTTGTGATTCAGCTGATATTTACAATATGCATAATGTACTGCAAATGCTGTTAGAGTATATAGCAGTAAATTTGGTTAGTACGGCACAGTTTTAAGTAAAGTTTTATAAATAATGCATAAGGAGAAGTACTTGCTTAAGCTGTGCTTTCACAGCCTGCTAGAACTAATCATAAATATCATGTTGACAGATCACACGAACAGCAAAATTTACAGAGTCTATTTATTGCACTCTTTCTATTGCATCTGTTCAGGAAATACACTGAAGACAGAGGAGACTGTTCATTACTTTGAGAAGAAAAATCTTTAATATCAGTATGTACTTCGAGGTTATGATCACATGCATACACACACAGAGCTTCAAATGAAAGGAGAGTTGGTCATATACCTTAGACCAGGATAAAGACGGAGGTCCTCATAATAGTCTAGTAGCTTCCACATGACTTTGTGAGGAAGGTAATTGTGTTTCATATAGATATGTAGTTCTCAGGATATGTTTTTGAACAGCAATTGTATTCAGGCTTTTAAATATATACTTGTAAAATGAAGGGAGGTGTTTTTTCTCTAGAAAGTACTAGATTCCTGACTTTAAACTAGTCTTCTTTCAATATATATAGTAACTAGTAATTAGGTGAATTAAGTAATTTATTTTTGCTTTCAATTCAGTATAAGAATGGCATTTTCACTGGGTATGTGTTTGTTCTGTATTACTCTGTAATCAATTACAATATTCCTTTTTCTCTTTTTTTTTTGGTGGGGGGTTTTTTTGGTTGGTTGGTTGGTTAGTTGGTTTGGTTTGAAGGGAGGCCAGGGAAGAGGGAGAGTCTTTTTTTTAACTCTACTGTCAAAAGACTTCTTTGTAGCCATTTTATTCTAAAATATACTAAGGAGTTGTGGATTTGTTTTGGTTTGTTTTCCAGGAACACCAATGCACCATTTCTTCTTGTCTTGTCTTATCTTCATGTCCACACTGCTCTGTATGCTTCAGAAAATTTCAGAGGAAAGAGCAAGCATGGCTTATATGGTGATGCAGTGGAGGAAATGGACTGGAGTGTAGGTATGTTACATGTGCTTCTAACAGCAGTCAATGGAATTCATGGAAAATTTGTGTTCATGTTCACTAAATTCTGACCAGCAATTTGGATGTCTAAAGTATATCGGTCATACTTGTCCTTTATGCTTAGAGGAAAGAAACAGTCATTTAAAAAGCACAATAATCTGAGCTCTTGTAGTATCTACTTTATGGCCAAAATTATTATGTTCTATTCTCGCCTTTAACTATAAAGGTAGTCTATAGAGCATAGACTTTAGCAGAGATGTGGTCACCTAACTGTGGACTTTTAAAGCTGAGTAGTTAAATCCAATGTCCTGAGCTCCTGGATGCCATCTGACCTGTTCAGGTTATCCTTATAAAACAATATATTAATTCAAAAAGTGACCACATGATATCTGTATAAAATTATTTTCAAATGAAGTGTCTATACTGTTCACTGTTGGCAAAACTAATTTGCTAATTATTTTAGCGAGTTCTCTGAATTATCGAAATCACTAATGTGAGGTCCATTCCTGTTTATGTAGAACAGTCAAACCAAACAGTTTGCCCTTCAGAGCTTCTCTGAGGCTGAAGAGCAATTGCTCCTTATATTTTTCAAGAGGTTTCCTATATCTCTAGATATATTGAAGTGTTTCTTTGATTCCAGAGATAATTGCCTGTGTAAACAAATAACAGTTCGTATTTGTAAATAATCATATTGTAGAATAGCAGTATTATAAGGGCTAAAGATGAGTTTACAGTCCTTCTTCCTGTGTGCCCCAAGTTGATTCTGTTCTCAGTCCAAGCCAGAGCAAATTGTCTTTCTTCAGGAAAATGTCGCTTCCTTATTAAGTTTCTATGAACAGATATTTAGTTTTGGTGCCTACATAAATTATGCCGGTATGTGCAGTTAAACATACATATTTCTTTGCACATTTTCCATCAAGAAGTCTAGTTTCAGAAGCAGTGGGCAAAAGGCAGCACAGGACATTTAGTGATTTGTAAGGTATTGACTACATTATTTACAAAAATGGGGAAAACCTTTGTGGGAAACTGTGATGTGCTGAGGAAGGGTTTTCAGTGTAGGAGATAACAGAATAATACTCTTTTGTAAATCAGGTTTTGTAAAGAGAGAGCAGCTTTCATTACAGTTGTATCAACCCTCAAACTTTATCACTATTTTCAGTGGCCACCAGCATTCGGTCAGTTGAGTACTTGTATTAGATAAAAGTATGCATGTGTTATCATTTTTATTGGCATCTGCATTGTAGTGAGCTACTGAGTGTTAGCTGGTTTTACTGTCTGCATTTGATTTTACTATTTCTTTTTCTGTTGTGCGATATTTAGCTTATCCCAGCCTATTTGGTCATGTGCTGCTACCATTACATTTTTTTGCCTCCTTGCTGCCCCAGAGAGTGTCTCCACTGTTTAAACAGCAAGCTGGAAGGCAGGACAGCTGATACTGTTTCAGGCTGTTTAGTGATGTAGAGGTGGTAACAGATTAAAACCCACTGCTCTTTTCCAGAATGACTACAGGCTCTTAGAAGATATGTCAAACTTCTGTAGGAGAGAAGCATACTATTTAAAAAGCTTGGGATAAATCAGAGATACAAATTTAGTGGTGCTAATACAGGAATTTTGAACAAACTTAGAGGAGATACATGTTTCCTCATGTACTGTCCTTTAGAGTTCATTACAAAAGCATCAGGGACAGTGGAGTTAGCTTAATCAGGAAACAGATCCTTGACTGTCATTTACTAGAATACAAGCATCAAATTTTATTTCTGCTGGGGGTCTGGCTACTTGGTTTTGCTTCTGTCTTGTAAGATTCCTGTGATGAAATATGGAAGTTTCTCCAAGAAGTAGAAAATGTGTTTAGTTCCTCTCCTGCATTATTAGCATGATGAAAAAAAAAGTTACAACTGACATTTCTGAAGGAGTCTGAAGGAATAATATAACTTTTTTTTTCAATTGAAGTGCTTATTTTTATTAACCTCCACTGAAAATTCCAGTCCTAATGCATCAACCTAGTCAGACAAAGTAAATTCATTCACTGTACTGCTGATGTCAATAACCAGTATTTTCTTGGAATGCCTCTGAAGATGCTACAGTAGAAAAGTCAAACAAAATTTTCTAGCAAAGTTGAAAAAGTGAAAACTGTAATCTTTCCAGAAAAAGTGGTTATATCATTCAGTAGGCATTAATTAGTATTTATGCATAGAAGAATGTAGCTTGCAAAAGCAATAAGAACAAAATAACCCAGGTATAACAATATACTACAAAACTTTCTAAGTGAAGACAACCCAGGATATGAAATAAAAATGAGTTTATGGAAAACTACATTATAGTACAACATCAGAAACCTTTGACCTCAGGTAGGAAAAAACCCACAACTTTAACTCAGTTCTAAAAGAAACTTACAATGTGTTTTCTGCTGACTGGGAAATGTTGTGGAAAACCCTTGTGGATGACTAAAACACACAAACAAACAAAAAAACAAACCAAAAAACCCTCCAAAGTTGCAAGCAGAAGTACGAATTAGGAATGTTAGGTACCAGTGATGAAAAAGTTATATCAAGATTGAACCATCTTGAAAAAGCAACAACCTTTCTATCAAGATGGAGAAGTCCACTCCACACTGAGAATTCTAAATACAAAACAATTCCGTTTTCATTTGTTTTGGTTTTTATTGAGAATCAATACCAAATTGGACAATAATTCAATTGTAAGACAGTCTCCATTCTAGGAGGAGAAAAACACATGAATAAAATACTTATTTGAATATTTCATATTTGTGACTTGTTAAACCACTGCTGAAGAGTATGATTACAATCCATGTCAAAAATCAAAAATACAAAGCCTCTGGATAAGCTCTGGGACCACGTATGTCTACTGCTTTTGCATACTGATATGTGTATAGCAGAATTCAATGTTGAAAGCATTCACAGTTATAATGTCACTGCATGTGACATGCCTTAGAGAATTATTCTCTGGCTAATAATGTTAATTTTCTTTCAATGTAGGCTAAGCACCTTATTAATGCTATTAATTATAATTCATATGAGAGCAGATGAAATAATCTTACTGTCTAAAAATGGAAAAAGAAATGATGAATGAATCAATGAATACAATATTATCCTCTTCTTCCTTCCTCTCTTCTTCCCTTCTTTCGTTCCTTCATTCCTGATTGAGTATAGGAAGAGAGATGGATATATTCAGAAATTGGTTTTGATGTAAATTTCATTACAGTAATTTAATCCAAAACAGATCACTGCAAAGAGTTTTGGAGCCCCCTGTAGACTTGCATGAAAGCTGTGTGAAGGCACAGTAATCCAACACCATTTTTGCAAATGGCTGTTTATTATTCTGTAGCAGAACTACATATGAGGTCTTCCTCCTTTGTACAACAATCACAACTGAAAGGCTTATATGTATAAAGGTCTCAGAAACTGTAGTCTGGAACAGACTGTAAAGTGAGAGCTTTGTCTGGAGATCTTTATTATGCGAATCCCCTGAAAGCTGAAAAAACCTAAGTGCCTCTCTGCCACGATCTTCTGACCTGTCTTAGGATCAAATTATGCCAAGAAGATACAACAATCATCTCATGTTGGTTAATTAGAAGAAAAGGTGAGGAAATAAATCCCAAAGCATCTTACATGCAACTTGTATTTGAAATACCTTAGAAGATTTTGTAAGAGTTATATATGAAGAGTGTAGCTTGGTATATCCACTGTACAAGAGGGATATGGAGCTACTGGACAGTGTCCAGCAAAGGGTTACAAGAGAGACTAGAGCATTTTTTCCTAAGAGAAAAGGCTGAGAGATCTGGGACTGGGGCTCCATTCAGTCTGGAGAAGACTGAGTATCTTATTAAGGTATATTAATTAAGAGGGACTTACTGCCCAAGGCCTGTATTGACAGGTGTAGTAGGTTTCTGTGGCTGGGTTTTGGTAGCAGGGGGGGCTAAAGGGGTGGCTTCTGTTAGAAGCTGCTAGAAGCTTCCTCTGTCCCATGGAGACAATGCCAGCCGGCTCCAGGACAAACTTCTTGCAGCTGGCCAAGGCTGAGCCAAATAGGAGTAATGGTAATGCCTCTGTGATAACATATTTAAGAACAGAAAGTTGTAGTGCAGAATGAATTCCAGCCAGGGAAGAGCGGAGTGAGAACATGGGAATAACAATGTAGACACCAAGGTCAGTGCAGAAGGAGGGGCAGGAGGTGCTCCAGGCACCGGAGCTGAGGCCCCTGCAGCCCGTGGTGCAGACCATGGTGGAGCAGCTCTGCCCCTGCAGCCCATGGAGGAACATCAAGGTGCAGAGACCCACCTGCAGCCCATGGAGGAGCCCTCGCTGGAGCAGGTGGATGCATGAAGGAGGCTGTGTCCCCGTGGGAGGCCCAAGATGGAGCAGGGTCCTGCCAGAGACCTGCAGCCCATGGAGAGGGAAGCCCACACTGGAGCAGGTTTTTCCCAGGTAGGACTGTGGGGGACCCACGCCGGTACAGCTCATTCATGAAGCACTGCACCCCATGGAGGAGTGACCCACAGGACAGCAGTTTGGGAAGAGCTGCTGCCCAAGGGATGGACTCACATTGGAGAGGTCCATCAAGGACTTTCTCTTGTGGGAGGGACCCCACGGGAGCAGGGGAAAGACTCCTCTCTCTGAGTAGCAGCAGAAACAAGTGACTGTAACCTCCATTCCCCATCCCCCTGCACGGCTCGAGGGAGAGGAGGGAGAACATGGAAGGAAGGAGGGGGGAAAGGTGTTTTTAAGGCTGTTTCATTTCTCACTCTTTGTCTCTTATCCTGTTAGTAGTAAATTTAAGTACTATCCCCACTTTGAGTCTGTTTTACCTGACCTCTCCCAGCTCTTATCTCTACTCAGGAACCCTTAGCTGTTTTTTTTTTCTCTCTCCTCTGTCCAGTTGCAGAGGGAGAGTGAAAGAGTGGCTGTAGTGGGTACCTGGTGTCTGGCCAGGGTCATCCCACTACAAGAGGACAAGGGATAGTTTTAAACTGAAAGAGG